TTGGTATTTAGTCCCTTGGCACTATTATTTTGGCTATTGTCATAATATCCTAATTGGCCAGATTTTTGCAAAGACATTATTGACTTAGAAATAAATAGATGTTGTGGTCAAGAGAGCGGTGCAAAAAGAGAGCAGAGACACTTTCCATGGATGCTCATTTATCAACCCATCTTATTTTCCTGCACCAAAAACCTATATTTCTCTCTCTCTTTCGCTCTGCTCTCCCTCCACTGTGGTCCCTCTTTGCATACTGATAGTTTATCAACAGAGGGCAAAAGAGATCAGGTGACCTTTACTTCAGACTACACACCAAACAATTAGATCTGCATCGTTTAGGTTTCCCTTTTTCTCTTATTGATGAGTTGACCCTCATGAGCCTTACTTTCCTCCCGGTGTCCACCGATAAAACAGCTAGGGCAGTGGTGAGACTTGTGTACCATACATAATCGATTATGTACTCGATGGTTACAGGAGGGGGGGGGGGGGGCTGTCTATTTGGATACGGCGCTGCTGTGTTCTAACCCTCCCCTCAGATAATGCTCGAGCGACACTATGACAAGCTTGTCGATTTCTCCTCTGGTAACCGTGGAGATCGCACAACTTGGGTGTCCCAACTCTTAATCCCACAAGATCCTCCCAATGTATGTTTCTCCGTCAGATAATCAGCCTTGTTCTAAATACGGAGGCCTCACTTTGTTGAGATCTGAAAACATTTGATATCCCTGATTATCCCCAAATCGGCTATGCCTCCATTTGTGCTTTAAGCATCATTATGATCACACACTCGCACAAATTAAATGCCTCGTGTAGCCTCTACCGCCTACATTTGTGTTATGGTTCAGTTCCCAGTCTATCTTGACTAGACCTATAGAAGCACAGTTTTTTATTATTTTGCAATGTTATTTTGGAGTGTGTGATGCTTGATCTCTTCTGGCTATTTTTCTCTCTTGGTCTCGGTGTAAAGGATTGCGCACGGGCGCATCAAAAAGAAAGGGGATCCCCATTCCCGATTACCCCATTTTGAGAACCAATCACATGATGACATGACTACAAAACAACTTTTTATAGCTTTAATTAAAAACGTGTTCTGACAGCCCAGTTGTGAATGGCCTTCAGAGAAAAGCGTGACTGATCCTGTTGCTATAACGACACCAAATATTTCCAGTCTTTCCTTTCACTTTAACTCACTCCATCCATCTACCCATTTATTAGTTGTGGACACTCTTTTCTACTAACACTGTATGGAACTTGAGGCTCATTGACAATAAAATGTTCATTAAGCACATTTTATCAAGCCTAGGCCTATGTCAAAAGCATGCCATTTGGGGGGAAATGTGTTAATTGCACAATGATTAAAAGTGGGCTACAATTCAATATCCTGTCTATCGTTGTTTACAGTGTTGCGAAATATGCCTAGTTGTTCTTTCGATATGGGTAGACTTTGCATGTTTTACATGTTTGACTATAGATGATTTGGAAGTTCCCTATTACATTTCCAAATGGTCTAACATTTAGTCTGTGTTTTCAGTTATATACCAAATACTGTTTATTTATAGGGCCACATTTTTATTTTTTTAACAGACTGGTATCCTATTATTTAATATGTTGATATCTGGTATAGGCCTACATTTTGAATAACTTCCATTTGTCTTCGTCCTCTGCAAAACCTGGTAGGCTAATGCATATTTGTTTGTTATAATTTTTTTCGTTACCCTGTAAAAACAGCAACCAACAAAACAACCCAATTGGGTTGTCCCTAATTGTGGCCTCCAATGGATGAATGAAGACACAAAACATAATGGTGGCAGGCAGGCAGGCCGAGGGACCACCAACCTAACATAGTCGGTGCATAGTAGGAGGACACAAAGCCCTAATAAACTTCTTCCGTATAATTTTTTTAATGGAAAACCAGATGCTTCTAAAGCTGATTTCGGATAGAGATCTCTCACTCTTCCCCCTCGGCCTTTTGAAAGGTTCTTTTCTTTCGTCTGTGAATCTGAAGGGGTATTGCTTTGCTCTTTTCGTTGGCCAAGCACAATTGTGTTATTGGAGATAATTAATTCAATCCCCATCAAAAGGTATTAGAAGCGCTTTGGCCCTGTAGTGGCTTTCTAAACTCAGAATGAAAAGACTGAGAACAAAGGTCTATGGGTAGGCTCGCTGATGGTCGCTTTTGAAGTAAAGGGGTCTGCGCATTGTTGTCGACATTTTTGTCCATAAGGCTGAAAAAAGATCCAGGGTCTTTGATGCGGTAACGAGAAATGCCACATAAATTGGAAAACAAGGCGCTGGTTTAAATCTTTATGCTGGACACTGCCTGCTGATAACATATGTCACACTTTACTTAAGGTTGGATGACTTCAATAAAGTAGTCCAATGTGCTGCATGGGAGAAATATACCCTACGCCCAAGGCAATTTAAAACTATTAATACATTATTATTATTATTATTATTATTATTATTATTATTATTAGGCCCCTAATAATGATGATGATGATGATGATGATGATGATGATGATGATGATGATAATAATAATAATAAATCAATAAACGTGTTGCCATATTGTAATGATCTATTTGCATGCTATAATTCGGATAATAAACATTATCTGAGTTTATAATTAGGTCTACCAAATTGACCCTCAAAAGTGATTACTTCACCTTGCTATCTTGTGGGAATAAAGCTGTTGCTATGCCAACAACATATGTCTTGGGTTAGCTTTATCAAATAGCCTACTAAAGCTAACGTTGAGACCCATACCCACTAATGTATAGGTCTCAACGTGATGTGCTTGCACAGTAAATTATACATGTTGTATCATATCGTTCAAAAAAGCACTTCATTGCCTCTTTCACAGGCAAATATATATATATATATATATATATATATATATATATATATATATATATATATATATATATATATATATAATCTCTATTTGCCCGTTGAGTTATGACCCAATAATCAATATCAAGCAAATTATATATAAGATTCAAATCTAATAAGCAAATATCAAGCAAAAGTTTGCTCTGTATATTTACTTTCACTTTTCCATACTGAATCACACACTGCAAAGCTCTTTTTCCAACAGCTGGGCAAACTAATGAACAAGATGTCTTATGGAAACGTGTAGTCATTTTTGCCACAAACTGGGGTTTATGTTATTGTAATCGGCTAAGAACACTTTGTAATAGAGGTTTAACAGATGAGGAGAAATAAATTAATTACTTGGTGCATTTTGGGTTATCTGCTGGGGTTGATTTTTGTATTTTGCCCCTATATACTGGCCAATACCATATGATTTTTGAATAAGATAGGCCTATTGCCTCAAATGATACACCTTCAAATGCAGTAGGCCTGAACAAGGTTGCAACTGTCCCATCAAATAATGCCGGTGGGGACCTTGATCCAAACGGCTTCCAATTAAATATGAATCTGATTATGAACACAAATAATTGAGATCATATCTGGAGCTAGGCGTGTTTCTCCGGTAAATTCATTGAATTTGTGGTCCATGCCTTCTTGGATATGCTCGTAATTGATTAATGAACACTGTCATTATGGAAAAATGACTAATAGCATATATCACAATCATTTTAATGACGAAATCAAGTATCATCTTGAGGTAAAAATTATAAAAATGCAATATTAACGTAAGCCTAAATTCTTCAGGGAAAATATCCATTCGTTGTAGAACTATAGGACTATCCATATTTAAAGCGACCAACAAGAAAACATTTATTAGTCACCATTTAGGATATTATCGTCCAAAATTGATTTGAATATAATACAGTTAAAATATGAAAAGTGCAAAAATATTACAAAAAATAATAAATTTCAAATTATAAAAATGTAGGGTTTTAGACTTAATATTGTTAATATGAATGTGAGTTCATCTGGAGTAAATGGAACGACTCGAGCATGTGCAACTCATGCTCAGATAAGCTTCTCGGTAGTTCCAAACACACTTGTTTTATATGTATTATCTAAATAAACACAGATTTTATATTTATATTTATTTTAAATAAGTAGGCCTAAACTTGAATATGTCTGAGTGGAAATATAATCTGGAAAAAAAAGCAGAGCACAAGCCTAGCCCATATAACTCCTCGATATTTTCACGACGCTCAATTCAATTATCTATGTTATTTGCGCATCGGGGGGCAATTACATGATAATTAAACACATTTCACGGTTACTCAGCCAAAATGTGTGTCTACAAAATACCATGATCAAAGTCAAATCTGTTCAGGTTCACGAGCCGCATCATGTAGGGTTACGGTTCACAAAAAGATGCTTTGGCCTTTCCATGATATTGTTAAAAATCCATCTACAACACGGCCGAACCCTTTATGAGGTAAAGCTCTGTGGCTGTATTTCTGTTAGAGTTGGCTTTAGCCTTGCTCATTGATCAACAACCTGCGGTGCGTCAACCGACGCGCGACTATCAATAGGCTACAGTTAGCATTTATAAACTTTACAAGGATATTATGCACTTTAGATGTTTTGATCAATGGTTATAACCCTCATTTCATTTTACGCATTAGTTTACAAGATTGAACAACAAAGCTGGCTATATGCCACTGAAGATCAAGGCCCTATATTTAATACATTCCCTTTACAATTGTATTAATGTTTTTCAAGGCATAATTTAAACTCAAAAACGTAATAATAATGTAACCGAATTATTTCGATATGCATAAAAGTTTAAACAGTTGCGTAATTGAATGGTAGGCTACATTTTACGCGTCACACACAGAATAGCTTCTTCAAATTAACATACAAATTACAACAATCAGTGAATAAATCGTATTTGTTTTATTTGGAAATTAACAAGAAATAAGTTAAGCACATGCAGAGACTTCAAAACAAACAAAGAAAGACAAAACGCTGACATTAAGCTGCACATAAAATCACACATTTTCTGGTTTGAAAAAAATACCACAAAAGACTGGAATGTTGCTGTAGCCTATAAAGAAATACATATTTTATTTATAATGCATTTCCACTTGGAATTTAAGATTGTAATACAAGATTGCGTTGGAAATATGTTTGTCAGATATTTAGCAAATGAAACTAAAGCAATGCGTAAAATGACAACATCCATTTAAAAAAGTAGGCTGTATCTGTAGCGGGTGTTTTCCGCTTCACCTGCGTCACGCGTTCCATGAGACCTTATTGACTGACCTTCATTCATGCACATTGTAACACATGGACATATTAATTGTGGGGACTACAAGTTTGGGAAATACAACATTATTTTACAAGCTCAAATTGTTATAAATACACTAGCAATGATTTACAGATGGATATATAATTATTCCATTTGAAACACTTTACAGGCCTATTGTATTTTACTCATACATATTCGTATACATTGAAGTAACAGTCCTTATGCACCAGGTGCATGCAAAAATAAGATAAATGTTTTCTGTTGTCCTTTTGTCGAGCACTATAAAAATGAGAAGATACTAAGAAGTGTTGAGGACCGGTCTGGAATACACACCTTGATAGTATGACGCCTCTATTGCGGATGGGTCCATAGCTCTGCCAGCCATGGACGCGCTGCCGAGGGGTAGACTGGAGGACATACCTGAGCCGTAGGATGAGTATTGCAAAGCTTGCTCGTAGGCTTTCAAGTCCAGTTTGTGCTGTTGCTCCGAGGATGACATTAAATTATTTATTGAAAAGGGGTGGTTGAATGAATAATGGGGATCGCCTTTTAGGTGCAGCTGGGACTCGTGCGCCATCGAATGCGGAGGTAAAGGGAGAGAGGACAGGGACGTGGCGGAGCTGGCCACCGGGTGGAGAGGTGGCCCGCTGCTCTTTAGTTCAGAGGCGCTGCTACTGCTCCTGTGCTCCATGCTGTGAGGGCTGGAGGACTGGTTGGAGGTGGAGAGGGAGTTTGATTCCACATGTCCAGTCTTGCTGTTGGTGTTCTCGCTCGAAGGTGACCCAGAACCGGACTGGTCTTTCCTTCCGTCTCCTTTACTTGAAGATAGCTTTCTATTTTCGCATTTAAAGCGCTTTTGTCTGCGCAGGTAACAACCGTTTTCGAACATATTTCCAGAATCTGGGTGCAGGGCCCAGTATGAGCCTTTGCCTGGCTTATCCGGTGACCTAGACACTTTGATGAAGCAATCATTAAAAGACAAGGAATGGCGAATAGAGTTCTGCCACCTCTGTTGGTTCTGTCTGTAGTATGGAAATAGGTCCATTATCCACTGGTAGATTTCGCTAAGCGTGAGCATCTTGCTTGGTGCTTGCTGAATGGCCATTGTTATCAGGGATATGTACGAATACGGAGGCTTTGCGTGCGGGTAGCTTCTCCTGAACGACTTGTTGTCCCTTGCTCGGTTCAGGTTGGGCTGATTATAGGACATTTGGCTCATTGTAGGGCTCATGCTGGCGTATGGATTCAGAGCGTTCATGGAAGCCTGCTGAGCCGACATTGCGCCCATGTTCGAGGGGCTAAGGGCAGTGCCCATTGACGATACCCCGCCGCACATTCCATTCATGGACGTGCTCGGGGGCATCCCTGCCATTGTCCCGGGGCTTACTCCGGCTCCCAGGCCGGGGTTGGCGTAGGACATGTTGAAAGAACCGGAGGTCATATTTCCACTGGTAGACATACTCATGTAACTGTTCATACTGTTCATGGAACTCAGTCCTGCATTCATGCCGCTGTTTGCCATGGGTGAATATACCTGGAATAACATGAGAGAAATGTGATCACAACAATGCTTTGGTCTTCCACACACTCAAAGTGCTTGAGTTTTTAAATATTTTTTTTATTCTGTTGAAATTGACTGTTTAATAATGTATAGGCAATAATAATTAATTATTCATATTAGGTTAACACAAAATATTTCAAAACGAAACAAATTTAATTGATTCGATTTGACAAGAAACATGAGATTCATTTTGAGAACCTCTGAACAGCAGCATGAAAACAGTCCATCATATTATGAATCTCAAACTCAATATTGTTTTACTGTATTAGGCCATATCATGATTATAACAAATAATAATTGCATTTACATTAACATATTATGTAGGCTTATTACGCACTAACAGAATGAGGTCAAGCAAAGTGTATTACGAGGTCTTATTATTGGCGTCAAACAAACGAACAATTTCTAAACATTCCATTCACTGACTGCAACTTTATTTTCGAATAGCATGCATTTAAAACATATGCCATTATTTCGTTGCATGATGTCTGGTAAATATTCAGTGCCAAATCCTAACTTTTTATCTGCGTGCATAACCAATTGATATAATGGGTTTTTACTTATTGTAAATTGCCCATATCTCAAGACAGCATTTGTCCCTCTGTGACTAACATGCACTCGTTCTTTATATACATCAGGTTGCATTTAGTGACATCTATACCCAAAACAGCCCAATATTCCATAAACAACAACACAGTAACTGTAATCGAACCATTTTTAAGGAAACTAACTCAACGGAAGACTTAGGAATCAGTTAACACTTTATTATTCTATAACCCAAATGGAAAACTTAAAGACACATACCTCTTGTGCGTCATTGTAATAGCTGCTCCAATCTGGTGTTTCGTGACCTTCCATTTTCACTGTACCCAACATTATGGTGGAAATCCACAAATCGTAAACATGCAGTTCCTTAGACTGAAGTTTTGGAGAAATGTATCCTAGGAAACTGTGCGCTGTAACTGGCGGGATGTTGCAGGAGGGCTAGAGTAAAGAAGTGAAGAGATGTTGACTGCAGTGTGACCTGTGAGTGTAGATCTTCCCCTATTACGGAGGCGGTACAACCCACCCACTTTTTTCTGTGTTCATTTGCCTGGCTCCTTTTCCCTCACTGTAGTCACACATCCCCTGCCCACAGTTTTTCTGCGTCTTTACAGAGAAAAATATCCCAGTCAAAAAAGTTTTTTTTCACCCTCATAAGGTGTGTTCGATCCGCTAGAAAGCAGGGTTTGAAAGACAGCGGAGCATGGAGTTCATTGTTGGACAATTACGCACTTGAAATGTTCCACAAATAGCCAAAAGGCATTTCATACGCCATGGAGAACGCCAGGCATAAACCAAATAGACTGGAAACTAGCATTACACACCTAGTCTTTTAGACCTTTATTATGATAAATCATAAAGGGAATTTTAATTCAATAAAAATACAACAGAAACGTCACTGTTTATGACTATATAATTTCAAAATGTCCATTACGCACACAATATTTGCTCTGGCTCACAGACAGTAGGCTATAGGGATCAAATTGTTAAATTATGCGAGAAATGAGAAGACGTGAGCACTGATGATATTGGATATTCCAATACAAATAATTCACTGATATGCATTCTTCTGTCAGGTTTAAAAAAAATGTTTTGCCATATGATGCGATGCTTATTTTTTATTTTAATTTCATTTATGTGCAGACTATGCCCATATAGCCTAGTATTTAATTGTAGCGTATGTAGGCCTATGTTTCAATTGTAATGTGATGGTCGCTGGGCAATGGAGAGAAAAGGGAACTTGTCAACCTCCATATGCGTGAAAAGACCTTCATAGCCCTCTGCTCTGCTGTACGGTACAAGGGGTTACAGCCAGGTCCTTCGATTCTAAACCCGTTAATGACCGAATAACAGCGATAATTATCCCCTTACATGGGATTATCTCAGGGTGATCTCTAATGCCGTTAGGGAGAGAAAATCGATTAGTTCAGGCCGGATTAAAACCTCCCACAATGCTTACTGCTGGATTTGAATTCTGTCACGGGAGATATAGCCAGGCCATCAAAGGCCTACAGGTGAACATGGTTGTTTTACAGATAGGGCCTAATTAGATTTATAGATTGCTTTATTCTATGACACTAGTTCTTATGACGATCCTGCTGTTTATTAACGCACAGCAAAAAAAACATCAAACTATAGTTGCCCCAAAGAAACGCCCATTGCCACCATCATCACCATATGAGAAGGAATTATATTCCACATTTGAATAGGCTAGTAATTAAAACAGGTTTTTATAACAATATAGGCTAATATTTCATGAAGGCCTACACATCCAGAATAAAAACTAAGAGCCAATAAAACAATATGGCAAATTGAAATTCTACTTCTGTCGATGAGAAGAGCATCCTGTGCCTTGCTTGGAGCATTATTGTAGTCATGTAGGCGAACTCATTTTCTATTTTGTTTAGTTTCCAAAGGTCGTCCCGGTTCTGCACCCACGTGGTGTCTGTTTTGTCCTGCCTAGTTGTCTGGTGGTTGCTAGGAGATCCTCTCAGTCACCAGGAAGAAATCTTCCTAAAAGTTTGTCAATGTTTAACTGGCTCTCTATTTTGCCAACGTGTTTTTGAGATGACAACACACTGGTGTGTGTTCAGATATAACGTCAATAAAAGAAAGGTAATGTCTAAAGTAATGTCAAAGTACCATCAATTTCAGCAAAGAGCTGTGACTTGTCACTTCAATATTTTAGAAAAAGGTAAGTGTTGGAATTTCTAATGTTTATGCTAGATAGCTAACTAACTAGCTAGCTAATATATTCTAGCAGCGTTAAAGGGTAGGTAGCATAAACGTAACCACATGTAACATATGGATTTGCATTAGAATATGCATAAACATTCCCAATGCAAAGTTACACCTCACTTTTCTATTTTTGAAATTATTACTAAAACTGATCAGAATTCTGAAGAATGCTGAACTGAAGTCCTGCTGGAAAAAACATTTGCAAGGTGTGACATAATATGGACCAGGCAAGCCAGCCTATTCCCTATAATGTAAACTCCAACAGAAATAACTTCAAATGTATAACTTTAAATCAAACCAAATCGTTTGCACTCATGACTACTGGTTTCAATTACATTTTCAGCCAACTTACAAGCAAATAGCCTACTTTATGAATGTATTGTTACAAATCAGCTTGCAAGGTTGCTAGCCAACTAGCCTGCTAACGTTAGACCTACTAGCCTGCTAATGTTACCCCTACCAGCCTGCTAACGTTACGTTAGCACTGCGTGAGTCAACACCTAGCTTACAGCTACATTAAAGTAAACCAACGTTTTGGTATACATAACGTCATCTAATCAGTTATCAAATAAAGGTACAGGTTTATGCAGCTATCTTAGCCAGCAAGCAAGCCAGCCAGCTAAAGTTAGTTATTTTAGCCTAGCTAGCCAACCACCATTGTTGACATAGCTAAGTAGTAAGCCAGAGAAGAATTAATCTAGCACAGGCAGGAACCCACAGAACACAACAAAAAAAGCCAGCAGATATAAAGTAGAGGGAGCAGAAACTTACCGATTGAAGGCTGAGTTAGCTACCAAAGTCAAAGAAGAGCCAAGGAGAGGCCTTCAGGGGGAGAGGTAGCTAGCTAGCTAATCCAATAGTGATATAGTGAGGTAAATCCACATTGAATTTACCAGGTTTATCTCCATCACTGCTGACACTCGCGATGTACCGGTAGGTCGGTAGGAAATAGAGATTGCAGGCTTCACATTCACGCTTGGCACAGCACCTGGTTTCAGTCAGTCTCATTCCGAATCCTGCCTTCCACTGGTTATACTAAGTCATCTAAGTACAGTAGACATGCGCACGGTTCCTATACTCCAATCAGCTCGCTTCAACGGGACAGACCGTTCCCACTTCAGAGCTTGCTTCTAATTTTTGGGCCACAAATGAGTTGGAACCCTGTCCTTGTGGGTATTACTGCACTAGCTACAAATGATGGAAAACTACTCCAACGCTCCCTCGACTACCACTACCAAACGCACAGGAGAAGAGGAGTTACAGTTTTTCGCATTCATTTATATGGTTTCTTCTTCGTGGATGTACATAGTAGCTCATCAGCACCAACACTTAGTTTGGAATGTAATTACATGCTAGCATGGCTAGTAGTTAACATTAGCCAGCTGGAACTAGCTAGGTAGCGCCGGTTCTCCATATGACGTTGAGAAATAGTGCATTGTGGGTAGTTCCGAAGATATCTTGAAATTAGTTAATAAATATGTAAAAACGCTAAAACATAACTTTGTTTGTAATTATAGGTAACCAGATCGGGACTACAACTAAGTTACTAACCACACTGTGTTGTTACTTTGGTGAGTAAAAACTCATGCTTCCTACCTTTTAAAGTGGTTCACTGGCAACATTGTAGCTAACTGGGCATTTGACATCTTTCAAACTTCATTACCAACAAAATATACACCATGAAGCTGTTGTTGTTTAGGCTGACAGTGCTCCTACTTTGTAACACAGTAACAACAATCTTAACATCAACAGCTTGATCATCAGTTATTGAGTAGTCCCATTTTGAATACATCTGGCCCTTCATTGGACACTGTGTTAACAAACCTCCAAATGAGCTTCAACGCCATACAACACTCCTTCCGTAGCCTCCAACTGCTCTTAAACACTAGTAAAACTAAATGCATGCTCTTCAACCGAACGCTGCTTGCACCCGCCCACCCGACTAGAATCACTACTCTCGGCGGGTCTGACCTAGAGTATGTGGACAACTACAAATACCTAGGTGTCTGGTTAGACTGTAAACTCTCCTTCCAGACTCACATTAAGCATCTCCAATCAAAAGTTAGATCTAGAATCGGCTTCCTATTTCGCAACAAAGCCTCCTTCACTCATGCTGCCAAACATGCCCTCGTAAAACTGACTATCCGACCGATCCTTGACTTCGGCGATGTCATTTACAAAATAGCCTCCAACACTCTACTCAGCAAATTGGATGTAGTCTATCACAGTGCCATCCGTTTTGTCACCAAAGCCCCATATACTACCCACCATTGTGACCTGTACGCTCTTGTTGGCTGGCCCTCACTACATATTCGTCGCCAAACCCACTGGCTCCAGGTCATCTATAAATCACTGCTAGGCAAATCCCCGTCTTATCTTGCTCACTGGTCACCATAGCAACACCCACCCGTAGTCTGCGCTCCAGCAGGTATATCTCACTGGTCATCCCCAAAGCCAACACCTCCTTTGGCCGCCATTCCTCCCAGTTCTCTGCTGCCAATGACTGGAACGAACTGCAAAAATCTCTGAAACTGGAGACTCTGATCTCCCTCACTATCTTTAAGCGTCAGTTGTCAGAGCAGCTTACCGATCACTGCACCTGTACACAGCCTTTCTGAAATTAGCCCACCCAACTACCTCATCCCCATATTGTTATTTATTTTGCTCATTTGCACCCCAGTATCTCTATTTGCACATCATCTTTTGCACATCTATCATTCCAGTGTTAATATGACATTTTAACTATTTTGCACTATGGCCTATTTATTGCCTTACCTCCATAACTTACTACATTCGCACACACTGTATATATATTTTCTGTTGTATTTTTGACTTTATGTTTTGTTTACCCCATATGTAACTCTGTGTTGTTGTTTTTATCGCACTGCTTTGCTTTATCTTGGCCAGGTCGCAGTTGTAAATGAGAACTTGTTCTCAACTGGCTTACCTGGTTAAATAAAGGTGAAGAAAAAAAAATGTATATGTATATATATATATATATAGAAGAAGCATCATTCTTGACAGAGATTTACCAATCATTTTAGATTTAGATTGTTTTATTATTGCTGTTTTTTACTCCTTTTAATTGATATTTCATTATCACCCATTGAAAAATAATTAATCCTCAGTTCTGTACTTTTTTGCATGTTTCACTTTCCAACACTTGGTCATGTTGATAAACACGGGGCAACATGCTGAGAAATAAGAAGTTCTGAGCCACAGAGGAGCTAAAGCTGAAGAAGGAGGTAGAGTCCCAGCATGACTTCCTACAAATGAATCAGCTGTTTTTCAACTCCCACGCAACCACCAGCACAATGGCCCAGCCAGCAGACTCTCTCCACACACTGGAGTCATGAGGACTGATGGAAGAGGCAACAGAGGGACATCGGACGCACCTCAAAATAGGACCTCACCAATGTCTGCAGGGTCAGACAGCCCGTTGGAGTTCCATGCAGATCTGCTACAATCCCCACCTGCCTCCTTACCACAGAGCACACTCCTACCAGACATCCCTAAAAGGAAGTCAGAGGTGAGCAAGAGTCAAGGGGTCACACATATGAAAGGAGTCAGTGGAGAGAGAGATGTCAGCAATGCTATTGATTCAGTTCATTTGGTCCTGTGTCCTCCAGGGCACAAACCTGCCTCGAAGCCGGCCATAGTTCAGCTAGCAGGGACTACCAAAGTGGTGTCCATGTCCATGAGGCCACAGCCTCCTTCAAAGCCCAGGTCAGAGAGGCCAGCAACAGGGACCAGGATGTGGATATACACTGCTCAAAAAAATTAAGGGAACACTAAAATAACACATCCTAGATATGAATGAATGAAAATCTTATTAAATACTTTTTTCTTTACATAGTTGAATGTGCTGACAACAAAATCACACAAAAATTATCAATGGAAATCAAATTTATCAACCCATGGAGGTCTGGATTTGGAGTCACCCTCAAAATTAAAATGGAAAACCACACTACAGGCTGATCCAACTTTCATGTAATGTCCTTAAAACAAGTCAAAATGAGGCTCAGTAGTGTATGTGGCCTCCACGTGCCTGTATGACCTCCCTACAACGCCTGGGCATGCTCCTGATGAGGTGGCGGATGGTCTCCTGAGGGATCTCCTCCCAGACCTGGACTAAAGCATCCGCCAACTCCTGGACAGTCTGTGGTGCAACGTGGCGTTGGTGGATGGAGCGAGACATGATGTCCCAGATGTGATCAATTGGATTCAGGTCTGGGGAACGGGCGGGCCAGTCCATAGCATCAATGCCTTCCTCTTGCAGGAACTGCTGACACACTCCAGCCACATGAGGTCTAGCATTGTCTTGCATTATGAGGAACCCAGGGCCAACCGCACCAGCATATGGTCTCACAAGGGGTCTGAGGATCTCATCTCGGTACCTAATGGCAGTCAGGCTACCTCTGGCGAGCACATGGAGGGCTGTGCGGCCCCCCAAAGAAATGCCTCCCCACACCATGACTGACCCACCGCCAAACCGGTCATGCTGGAGGATGTTGCAGGCAGCAGAACGTTCTCCACGGCGTCTCCAGACTCTGTCACGTCTGTCACATGTGCTCAGTGTGAACTTGCTTTCATCTGTGAAGAGCACAAGGCGCCAGTGGCGAATTTGCCAATCTTGGTGTTCTCTGGCAAATGCCAAACGTCTTGCACGGTGTTGGGCTGTAAGCACAACCCCCACCTGTGGACGTCGGGCCCTCATACCACCCTCATGGAGTCTGTTTCTGACCGTTTGAGCAGACACATGCACATTTGTGGCCTGCTGGAGGTCATTTTGCAGGGCTCTGGCATTGCTCCTCCTGCTCCTCCTTGCACAAAGGCGGAGGTAGCAGTCCTGCTGCTGGGTTGTTGCCCTCCTACGGCCTCCTCCACGTCTCCTGATGTACTGGCCTGTCTCCTGGTAGCGCCTCCATGCTCTGGACACTACGCTGACAGACACAGCAAACCTTCTTGCCACAGCTCGCATTGATGTGCCATCCTGGATGAGCTGCACTACCTGAGCCACTTGTGTGGGTTGTAGACTCCATCTCATGCTACCACTAGAGTGAAAGCACCGCCAGCATTCAAAAGTGACCAAAACATCAGCCAGGAAGCATAGGAACTGAGAAGTGGTCTGTGGTCACCACCTGCAAAACCAGTCCTTTATTGGGGGTGTCTTGCTAATTGCCTATAATTTTCACCTGTTGTCTATTCCATTGTCAATCAGTGTTGCTTCCTAAGTGGACAGTTTGATTTCACAGAAGTGTGATTGACTTGGAGTTACATTGTGTTGTTTAAGTGTTCCCTTTATTTTTTTTAGCAGTGTACAAGAGCAAGAAGGAGTCAGAGCAGGTGTCTATCTTGGAGAAGAAAGTGCCTTAGAGGCGCATCCGGAGATCAAACTTCCTCAGCAGATGTCAGGCTCTGAGCTTGGACAGCACCGATGAGAGCAGGAACAGTGAGGACTCGGGCTCCGACCAATCCCACAGGAACGCTCCTGCGGAAGGTCAAAAAATAAAATAAAATGAGGAAACCTAAAGATACACCAAGGACTTCCACTGACGACAGGAGCTCAAAGAGCCAGAGTACCACCATGGCCCCCAGCAGCATCCGTAGTGTCAAGTTCACCACAGAGCTGCTTCATGAGGCCCGGGGCATCGTAGGGTCTGAGGCAGAGGGACAGGGACAGGAGTACACAGACTCCCAGCAGAGAGACCCTGAGGAGTCAGTGGCCACGGCTATGGGGCTTGTCAGAGGCAGAGATAGGATGGTGGATGAAATTATTGCCTCCCTACAGATAGGAGGCAGTGATATGTCGTCTGTCTCAGACCAGATGATCAAGGAGCTGATGGGGAGAGTGCTTGGGGACCATAGAATGATTTCATTCTATTTCTATGTGGGGGACAGCTACAATGCAGAGAACGAGGTGACAATAGGATAACAACTGATAATATGCTGAATGGTCACAAAAACTCATGTTGACCTTCATACTTTTGGTAGAGATTTTAAATAAGCCCAGTGATAGTTACATAATAATAATTGTATTAGTTATTTAAACAGGTCTAAAATGCTCATAACAATGGCATTTCTTTTATTGAATGATAAAAAATGTTTCAATCCTTTTTTAAAGGAAGAGAAAACAGTGCAATCAAAATGTGAGGAATCAGAGCAGGAGAGAGAAGAGAATATTAGCCCTGTGCAAACAGGTCATGCAGAGACTACATTCAGTGTATTTAGATTTATCGCATTTGACTTGCCTTGGCTTGTAACATTGAAAAATTGTCTCCCAGAGCATTTGAGAGCATTTTAAGTGTAGAGGTTTCTGTTATTAAGGATGTATAAAGTTTAAACTAAATTCAACCTTGATATGGAACTATGAATTATGTTTGTATGATAGTTAACAGACGTCTGATCCTGATTTCCAGGGTACTCCTCCGGTTCCACAGAGGATGTTGTTGGTTAAGAGGGAGACACCAACCCCTCCAAGACCTGTTGAGTCCCCTAAAGTCACATCAGAGGTCTACAAGATGGCTGACTCACTGTCTGAGAGAATCAGGGGTATATAAGATGGCTGACTCACTGTCTGAGAGAGACTCACAACAATGACTGCTCTATGGCCTCTGCTCTCCCACAGAAGGTACTACTTGGATTTATTTGGTTGACATTGTTTTTAGTTCATTAGGTGTTTTACCCTGATCAACTACTTCAACTGTACTATCAGTTTAGTATTTTTTTCTGTCAGAGGTGACTTATACAGATGTAATGACAGCTCGAGGAGATGCCATAGCTCCTTCTCAGAGACCAACGAGGGTGTATTTACAAAACAAAACCATTCAAGGTCTTTCCCTTGTAGCAACATCGGCCCCTAAGCACAGTAAGAATATTGTATTCCCTGTCTGTCTGGTTGATCAGGAGAGTTGTGAGTTGTTGTTACAAATGGATTTGGAGTTGTGATCACTACTACTATTACAAGTGTGTGTAATAAACGGATACAACATGAAATGATGCAACACAGAACTAGCCTGATCCACCATCCTGACCTTGTGTTTCACTTCATCAATCCGTGCAGCGAGACACAATGTAAGCTTGCGAGACCCAAGATGGTCGAACAAGGCTAACACAGAACTGTAGTAAAAAAAGAAAGGGGTGTGGTTTCCAAAAAATTTGAAAACAGTTGCTTGTAACCCTGTCATAGGCTAGTCATAGGTAGCCGTGACTGCTGCTTGCTCTGGAGGAAGTCGTTTCCCACTATCATGGTAACCATCTCCAACCTTGACTTTAATGGCCTTGGACGGAGGTGAGCTCAGTTCCATGGAGTCTGTCTGTAAATGAAGTGACTAGGCTATCATCAAAACTCCTCCACCCCATTCTCAGAGACCCATTGACAAAGAGAATAATTATTATGCTCCCGGCCTAACACTCTTTTACGGAGCCTAGTGCACACCCACACACTTCCTTATCACTGACTCCTTACTCACCTAAAGATACCAGATTTACTGCCTCCTATTGCAAGCGCTGAGTTGGAATTGTACCACTCCCTCCTTTCCCCTCCTACCCCATTCATGAAAAAATGGAACCAAAACAAGTGCCATTTAATTAGGTGGGGGTTTCAGAGCTTTGGTTCACTGAAAGGTTTCTGCTGGATATGGATGGGAGGTTTTATAAGGGGGCCAGGCTGCCAGCCTGCCTGCCAATGGTAGATGGATTAGAATTAGAATTAGATCGGCAGCAAGACTAAAGACAGGCAGCACTCAGGTTGGCTCCACTCCACAGTTATAGAATTCTCATTTCATTGAAAAAAAGGCAATTACTCTGTAGTGACCTTACAGGTTTTTTTGCTCCGCTCTCTGAGCTGAGGCATACCTACCTACCCCAGAGTTCCAGAGAGATTATTAATCTCAAGAGTGACAGGCCGTAGTGAACATGTTATCCTCCAATAAATTGTCCAGTGTCTGGCAGGTTAGAAGCCCTAGTCAAGTGGTGGATGGAGGCCTTTTCAAAGAGTGATGAGAAGTTATGGCAGGGATGATCTGAGCAAATAAACCTCCAGCTCATCTGCTTACGCCACAGAGAATGTTTCATCTGTTAGGACAAGTCACAAGACCACTGTATTGATTTGTAGAGGTTTCAAATATGTGGATTGTTGTTGAATCATTTACATTCTTCAATGTAACATACCAGTGGGGTTTTGGTTGCAAGCTACATTTACAGTTGAGCGGACTTCTCCCTTTAACTTACATGATAATATGGTATGTTTTTATATGACCTGTGTCATTACAGACTAGGTACAGAAGTCAGAAATTATGTTCAATTTAGATATACGGGCAAGTAAGCATTAGCTTGGTCCTAGATCTATTTATGCTATTGCCAACTCAATTGCTGTCATTGTCAAGCCAGTGACAAGGAGTTGTCCTGATGGCACAAACAGACTAGCTAAGTAAGCATATCACAACATTTTAGTCATTACTGTTGTATTGCTCTCCCACAGTGCAGAGGAGTACAACACCATTCACCACCTCTGTACAACCCCAGTCAGCCAGGCCCTGCCTCTGGAGCTGGCTTCCCGGATCTGTCACACCTCCAGCCAACTCACTGCGCCACCACCGTTTCACCAAAAGAGGACAGCACTACAACACATTTGTACCCAGCCTGACAGACACAGGTCAAAAAGTCCAAAACTTGGATTTTATAGCAAAATGTGGAATTTAAGTGCTATATATATATATATATATATATATATATATATATATATATATATATATATATATATATATACAGTCGTGGTCAAAAGTTTTGAGAATTACACAAATATAAATTTTCAAAGTCTGCTGCCTCAGTTTTTATGGTGGCAATTTGTGTATACTCCAGAATGTTATGAAGAGTGATCAGATGAATTGCAATTAATTGCAAAGTCCCTCTTTGCCATGAAAATGAACTTAATCCCTACAAAAACTTTTCCTCTGCATTTCAGCCCTGCCACAAAAGGACCAGCTGACATCATGTCAGTGATTCTCTCGTTAACACGTGAGTGAGAGTGTTGACGAGGCTGGAGATCACTCTGTCATGCTGATTGAGTTAGAATAACAGACTGGAAGCTTTAAAAGGAGGGTGGTGCTTGAAATCATTGTTCTTCCTCTGTTAACCATTGTTACCTGCAAGGAAACACATGCCGTCATCATTGCTTTGCACAAAAAGGGCTTCACAGGCAAGGATATTGCTGCTAGTAAGATAGCACCTAAATCAACCATTTATCGGATCATCAAGAACTTCAAGGAGAGAGGTTCAATTGTTGTGAAGAAGGCTCCCAAGAAAGTCCAGCAAGCGCCAGGACCGTCTCCTAAAGTTGATTCAGCTGCGGGATCGGGGCACCACCAGTGCAGAGCTTGCTCAGGAATGGCAGCAGGCAGTTTTGAGTGCATCTGCACGCACAGTGAGGCGAATACTTTTGGAGGATGGCCTGGTGTCAAGAAGGGCGGCGAGGAAGCCACTTCTCTCCAGGAAAAACATCAGGGACAGACTGATATTCTGCAAAAGGTACAGGGATTGGACTGCTGAGGACTGGGGTAAAGTCATTTTCTCTGATGAATCCCCTTTCCGATTGTTTGGGGCATCCGTAAAAAAGCTTGTCCGGAGAAGACAAGGTGAGCGCTACCATCAGTCCTGTGTCATGCCAACAGTAAAGCATCCTGAGACCATTCATGTGTGGGGTTGCTTCTCAGCCAAGGGAGTGGGCTCACTCACAATTTTGCCTAAGAACACAGCCATGAATAAAGAATGGCACCAACACATCCTCCGAGAGCAACTTCTCCCAACCATCCAAGAACAGTTTGGTGACAAACAATGCCTTTTTCCAGCATGATGGAGCACCTTGCCATAAGGCAAAAGTAATAACTAAGTGGCTCGGGGAACAAAACATCGACATTTTGGGTCCATGGCCAGGAAACTCCCCAGACCTTAATCCCATTGAGAACTTGTGGTCGATCCTCAAGAGGTGGGTGGACAAACAAAAACCCACAAATTCTGACAAACTCCAAGCATTGATTATGCAAGAATGGGCTGCCATCAGTCAGGATGTGGCCCAGAAGTTAATTGACAGCATGCCAAGGCAGATTGCAGAGGTCTTGAAAAAGAAGGGTCAACACTGCAAATATTGACTCTTTGCGTAAACTTAATGTAATTGTCAATAAAAGCCTTTGACACTTATGGAATGCTTGTAATTATACTTCAGTATACCATAGTAACATCTGACAAAAATATCTAAAACAGTGAAGCAGCAAACTTTGTGAAGACAAATACAGTGAGATGAGAGAGGCCTGTAACTTTCATCATAGGTACACGTCAACTATGACAGACAAATTGAGGAAAAAAAATCCAGAAAATCACATTGTAGGATGTTTAATGAATTTATTTGCAAATTATGGTGGAAAATAAGTATTTGGTCACCTACAAACAAGCAAGATTTCTGGCTCTCACAGACCTGTAACTTCTTCTTTTAGAGGCTCCTCTGTCCTCCACTCGTTACCTGTATTAATGGCACCTGTTTGAACTTGTTATCAGTATAGAAGACACCTGTCCACAACCTCAAACAGTCACACTCCAAACTCCACTATGGCCAAGACCAAAGAGCTGTCAAAGGACACCAGAAACAAAATTGTAGACCTGCACCAGGCTGGGAAGACTGAATCTGCAATAGGTAAGCACTGATCCGTGTAAAGGAAAGAATGAATGGGGCCATGTATCGTGAGATTTTGAGTGAAAACCTCCTTCCATCAGCAAGGGCATTGAAGATGAAACGTGGCTGGGTCTTTCAGCATGACAATGATCCCAAACACACCGCCCGGGCAACGAAGGAGTGGCTTCGTAAGAAGCATTTCAAGGTCCTGGAGTGGCCTAGCCAGTCTCCAGATCTCAACCCCATAGAAAATCTTTGGAGGGAGTTGAAAGTCTGTGTTGCCCAGAGACAGCCCCTGTATCGCGACAGGTCTGTGAGAGCCGGAATTCTTACTGGTTGGTAGGTGATCAAATACTTATGTCATGCAATAAAATGCAAATTAATTACTTAAAAATCATACAATGTGATTTTCTGGATTTTAGTTTTAGATTCCGTCTCTCACAGTTGAAGTGTACCTATGATAAAAATGACAGACCTCTACATGCTTTGTAAGTAGGAAAACCTGCAAAATCGGCAGTGTATCAAATACTTGTTCTCCCCACTGTATCTTGCATTACTCGTCTCATATGTATATACTGTATTCTATACTATCTATTGCATCTTAGCCTATGCTGCTCTGACAATGATATTGCTCATCCATATATTTATATATTCTTATTCCATTCCTTTACTTAGATTTGTGTGTATTAGATATTTGTTGTGGAACTGTTAGATATTACTTGCTAGATATTACTGAACTGTCGGAACTAGAAGCACAAGCATTTCGCTACACTCGCAATAACATCTGCTAACCATTTGTATGTGATAGATATATATATAGATAGATAGATAGATATTAGTACCAGTCCAAAGTTTGGACACACCTACTCATTCAAGGCCTTTTCTTTATTTTTTACTATTTTCTACATTGTAGAATAATAGTGAAGACATCAACATTATGAAATAACACAAATGGAATCATGTAGTAACCAAAAAAAGTGTTAAACAAATCAAAATATATTTTATATTTGAGATTCTTCAAATAGCCACTCTTTGCCTTGATGACAGCTTTGCACACTCATGGCATTCTCTCAACCAGCTTCACCTGGAATGCTTTTCCAACTGTCTTGAAGGAGTTCCCACATATGCTTAGCACTTGTTGGCTGCTTTTCCTTCACTCTGCCATCCGACTCATCCCAAACCATCTCAATTGGGTTAAGGTCGGGGGATTGTGGAGGCCAGGTCATCTGATGCAGCACTCCATCACTCTCCTTCTTGGTAAAATAGCCCTTACACAGCCTGGAGGTGTGTTGGGTCATTATCCTGTTGAAAAGAGATCATCCGTTCACCCACATCGCGTCTCACAAAGACACAGCAGTTGGAACCAAAAATCTCAAATTTGGACTCCAGACCAAAGGACAAATTTCCACCGGTCTAATGTCCATTGCTCGTGTTTCTTGGCCCAAGCAGGTCTCTTCTTATTATTGGTGTCCTTTAGTAGTGGTTTCTTTGCAGCAATTCGACCATGAAGGCCTGATTCACACAGTCCCCTCTGAACAGTTGATGTTGATATGTGTCTGTGACTTGGAACTGTGAAGCATTTATTTGGGCTGCAATTTCTGAGGCTGATAACTCAAATGAACTTATCCTCTGCAGCAGAGGTAACTCTGGGTCTTCCATTCCTGTGGAGGTCCTCATGTGAGACAGTTTCATCGTAGCACTTGATGGTTTTTGCGACTGCACTTGAAGCAACTTTCAAAGTTCTTGAAATGTTCCGTATTGACTGACCTTCATGTCTTAAAGTAATGATGGACTGTCGTTTCTCTTGCCATAATATGGACTTGGTCTTTTACCAAATAGGGCTATCTTCTGTATTCCCCCCCTACCTTGTCACAACACAACTGATTGGCTCAAACGCATTAAGGAGGAAATAAATTCCACAAATTAACTTTTAAGAAGGCACACCTGTTAATTGAAATGCATTCCAGGTGACTACCTCATAAAGCTGGTTGAGAGAATGCCAAGAGTGTGCAAAGCTGTCATCAAGGCAAATGGTGGCTATTTGAAGAATCTCAAATATGAAATATATTTAGATTTGTTTAACAAATCAAGTTTTTTTGGTTACTACATGATTCCATATGTGTTATTTCATAGTTGATGTATTCACTATTATTCTACAATGTAAAAAATAAAGAAAAACCCTTGAATGAGTAGGTGTGTCCAAACTTTTGACTGGTACTGTACTGTGTATATATATATATATATATATATATATATATATATATATATAAATATAATTTGGTCATCCTCTCCCACTACCTTCTGCACTTGACTTCAAATGTACAAACATTGCACGTCAGGATTATCATTACAACAACCTCATCACGTGTAAAAAAAAAAAAAAAAAAAAAAGAAATATATATGTATTTAATCTCTTTGCAGTATAGTCAATGAATTCGTGCCCTGTGTGGATGTGAGTCTGATGTAAAAGGCTGACTGGCCAAAGATCGCTGAGTATTATGTAGAGATTGCCCAGGATGATGCTTCACAGACAGGCAGGGAGGGGGATCAGCACAATGGTAATATAATTTTTTTCCCCAAAACAAGTTTATCTACAAATTGTTTCACATCTAACAAGATTAACCACTAGGTGGCACCAAACACATTTGCAACTCATTAGATTCAGCAGGTTGCGTGAAAGATGCTGCTATAATGTAAGGCACAATTATACATTCACTGAACACTGTAACTACTCAACAGTGTTGAATGTCCCAATATATTTTTTATCATCATGTTTGCTTGTTTTAATGGGGTAATTTCATTGGTTTAAATGAGTTCCCTCAACTTCCCTGTCCTAAAGTGTGTATCTTCTCCCTCCCAGACCTCTGTGTTCCAACGAGCTGAAGATATTCTGGCACCCAGTGCCTCCCAAGTTCAGCTGCTCTCCTGCCTTCGTCAATCACAAACTCTTTCCAGGTGGTGTAGTACTGAGCCAAGTACCAGGTAGTGTAGTACTGAGCCAAGTACCAGGTAGTGTAGTACTGAGCCAAGTACCAGGTAGTGTAGTACTGAGCCAAGTACCAGGTAGTGTACTGTAGTACTGAGCCAAGTACCAGGTAGTGTACTGTAGTACTGAGCCAAGTACCAGGTAGTGTACTGTAGTACTGAGCCAAGTAATAAAAAAATAAATAATAATATGCCATTTAGCAGACGCTTTCATCCAAACGACTTACAGTCATGCGTGCATACATTTTTGTGTATGGGTGGTCCCGGGGATCGGACCCACTACCCTGGCGTTACAAGCGCCGTGCTCTACCAGCTGAGCTACAGAGGACCACAAAATTACCAGGTAGTGTAGTACTGAGTCAAGTACCAGGTAGTGTAGTAATGAGCCTCTGATGTTTACAGACAGACTTGTACTCTACTTCCCTGCCAGACACAGTCAGTCCACTGGAACAGTTACAGGCACACTTAACTGCAGAAATCTCCTCCATCTGTTCAGTGTTTTAGTTGAGACTTGATGGAGAACATTGGAGATGCTCTTTGATCATTACATTAGAAGATGCCTTACTACTCTTTGATAATTCTGGAATATAGCTTTGAGACCTTAAAATGTCAAATTGCAATTTAACCATACCTCACCAATGTGATCTCACCCAAATATATCCTACTGCTGTGTTTCTATGGTGTTTGTTACTTAGGCAACCCGTAATGACCAGGGAGGAGCTCTATGGTGATCTGCAGAACCTGTTGGAATCAGTCTGTGACCTGACAGAGATGGAGCCAACCACCTCATTGGTCAGTGTGGTGTTCAGTACCCCGCCTCCCCAAATGTAAATGTTATATAAATATATTTAATTAAATGTATGCTGACTTGAAAAGTTGTAGCTATATTAGCTTACAGTAAACCCCACAATCTGAGCTTTTTAGGCTATTATTATCTTTTCCATTGTGTGCTGAACTGAAGAGTGTTGTGTTATTTACATTTACGTCATTTATCCAGAGTGACTTACAAATTGGTGCATACTGTGAGCACTACAGAGATACAGCACAGTGTTCTATTTAATTGTGTGCCACCAGTGCTCAACAATGACAGCCATGAGAACCTGAGTGCCTTCCTGGGGCCTGCTCTACACCGAGCGACGACAGTGGCAACAAGCCATGTCTGACTTTGAAGCGGGATCAAACTCGACAGGTAATACCACTGGGCCTCTCGCTGTGACAGAGTCTGGATCCTTTCTTCTGAAAAGAGCAACGGGGCTTTGAGTGAGAGGGAGGGAGAGAGACAGGGAGAGAAAGAGAGGGGAGAGAAAGAGGAAGGGAGGGGGTGTTGGAGCGAATAAGAGTTTCAAGATGTATAAGAATGTTTAATGTTTAGAACTAGAATCTTGCTTGAAGTGTAATGATTGGTAATGGGAATGTTGTAGAATACCTTGGAGATGGAGATTAAGAGACAAATTATATATTTCCTTAAATGTTTTTTCCTCACTTTATGATGATTTCTTGTTTCTCTCAGGTCTGTAGCACTGGCCCACGTGAACCTGGTTTTGATGTACAGTATATGTTGAAGATCAGGGTGGGAAATTAACCATAGTGGTTGGTGGATACCCACATTTGACCTTCAAATGTTTTCCCAGACCCATTTTTTCCCCCTATGCTGTACCCCACCCCGCTTTCACCACTGTAGCGTTGACATTGTTTATTCTAGAGCTGAAACACACACTCATATATATATATATATATATACAGTGGGGAGACGAAAGAAAAAGAAAATCCAGAAAATCACATTGTATGATTTGTAAGTAATTAATTTGCATTTTATTGCATGACATAAGTATTTGATCACCTACCAACCAGTAAGAATTCCGGCTCTCACAGACCTGTTAGTTTTTCTTTAAGAAGCCCTCCTGTTCTCCACTCATTACCTGTATTAACTGCACCTGTTTGAACCCGTTGCCTGTATAAAAGACACCTGTCCACACACTCAATCAAACAGACTCCAACCTCTCCACAATGGCCAAGACCAGAGAGCTGTGTAAGGACATCAGGGATAAAATTGTAGACCTGCACAAGGCTGGGATGGGCTACAGGACAATAGGCAAGCAGCTTGGTGAGAAGCAACAACTGTTGGCGCAATTATTAGAAAATTGAAGAAGTTCAAGATGACGGTCAATCACCCTCGGTCTGGGGCTCCATGCAAGATCTCACCTCGTGGGGCATCAATGATCATGACGAAGGTGAGGGATCAGCCCAGAACTACACGGCAGGACCTGGTCAATGACCTGAAGAGAGCTGGGACCACAGTCTCAAAGAAAACCATTAGTAGCACACTACGCCGTCATGGATTAAAATCCTGCAGTGCACGCAAGGTCCCCCTGCTCAAGCCAGCGCATGTCCAGGTCCGTCTGAAGTTTGCCAATGACCATCTGGATGATCCAGAGGAGGAATGGGAGAAGGTCATGTGGTCTGATGAGACAAATATAGAGCTTTTTGGTCTAAACTCCACTCGCCGTGTTTGGAGGAAGAAGAAGGATGAGTACAACCCCAAGAACACCATCCCAACCGTGAAGCATGGAGGTGGAAACATCATTCTTTGGGGATGCTTTTCTGCAAAGGGGACAGGATGACTGCACCGTATTGATGGGAGGATGGATGGGGCCATGTATCGCAAGATCTTGGCCAACAACCTCCTTCCATCAGTAAGAGCATTGAAGATGGGTCGTGGCTGGGTCTTCCAGCATGACAACGACCCGAAACACACAGCCAGGGCAACTAAGGAGTGGCTCCGTAAGAAGCATCTCAAGGTCCTGGAGTGGCCTAGCCAGTCTCCAGAACTGAACCCAATAGAAAATCTCTGGAGGGAGCTGAAAGTCCGTATTGCCTCCGAAACCTGAAGGATCTGGAGAAGGTCTGTATGGAGGAGTGGGCCAAAATCCCTGCTGCAGTGTGTGCAAACCTGGTCAAGACCTACAGGAAACGTATGATCTCTGTAATTGCAAACAAAGGTTTCTGTACCAAATATTAAGTTCTGCTTTTCTGATGTATCAAATACTTATGTCATGCAATAAATGCAAATTAATTACTTAAAAATCATACAATGTGATTTTCTGGATTTTAGTTTTAGATTCCGTCTCTCACAGTTGAAGTGTACCTATGATAAAAATTACAGACCTCTACATGCTTTGTAAGTAGGAAAACCTGCAAAATCGGCAGTGTATCAAATACTTGTTCTCCCCACTGTATATATATATATATATACAGTGGGGGGAAAAAAAGTATTTAGTCAGCCACCAATTGTGCAAGTTCTCCCACTTAAAAAGATGAGAGAGGCCTGTAGTTTTCATCATAGGTACACTTCAACTATGACAGACAAAATGAGGAAAAAAAAATCCAGAAAATCACATTGTAGGATTTTTAATTAATTTATTTGCAAATTATGGTGGAAAATAAGTATTTGGTCAATAACAAAAGTTTCTCAATACTTTGTTATATACCCTTTGTTGGCAATGACACAGGTCAAACGTTTTCAAAGGGTTTTCACACACTGTTGCTGGTATTTTGGCCCATTCCTCCATGCAGATCTCCTCTAGAGCAGTGATGTTTTGGGGCTGTCGCTGGGCAACACGGACTTTCAACTCCCTCCAAAGATTTTCTATGGGGTTGAGATCTGGAGACTGGCTAGGCCACTCCATGACCTTGAAATGCTTCTTACGAAGCCACTCCTTCGTTACCTGGGCGGTGTGTTTGGGATCATTGTCATGCTGAAAGACCCAGCCACGTTTCATCTTCAATGCCCTTGCTGATGGAAGGAGGTTTTCACTCAAAATCTCACGATACATGGCCCCATTCATTCTTTCCTTTACACGGATCAGTCGTCCTGGTCCCTTTGCAGAAAAACAGCCCCAAAGCATTATGTTTCCACCCCCATGCTTCACAGAGGTATGGTGTTCTTTGGATGCAACTCAGCATTCTTTGTCCTCCAAACACGACGAGTTGAGTTTTTACCAAAAAGTTATATTTTGATTTCATCTGACATTCTCCCAATCCTCTTCTGGATCATCCAAATGCACTCTAGCAAACTTCAGACGGGCCTGGACATGTACTGGCTTAAGCAGGGGGACACGTCTGGCACTGCAGGATTTGAGTCCCTGGCGGCGTAGTGTGTTACTGATGGTAGGCTTTGTTACTTTGGTCCCAGCTCTCTGCAGGTCATTCACTAGGTCCCCCCGTGTGGTTCTGGGATTTTTGCTCAACGTTCTTGTGATCATTTTGACCCCACGGGGTGAGATCTTGCGTGGAGCCCCAGATCGAGGGAGATTATCAGTGATCTTGTATGTCTTCCATTTCCTAATAATTGCTCCCACAGTTGATTTCTTCAAACCAAGCTGCTTACCTATTGCAGATTCAGTCTTCCCAGCCTGGTGCAGGTCTACAATTTTGTTTCTGGTGTCCTTTGACAGCTCTTTGGTCTTGGCCATAGTGGAGTTTGGAGTGTGACTGTTTGAGGTTGTGGACAGGTGTCTTTTATACTGATAACAAGTTCAAACAGGTGCCATTAATACAGGTAACGAGTGGAGGACAGAGGAGCCTCTTAAAGAAGAAGTTACAGGTCTGTGAGAGCCAGAAATCTTGCTTGTTTGTAGGTGACCAAATACTTATTTTCCACCATAATTTGCAAATAAATTCATTAAAAATCCTACAATGTGATTTTCTGGATTTTTTTTCCTCAATTTGTCTGTCATAGTTGACGTGTACCTATGATGAAAATTACAGGCCTCTCTCATCTTTTTAAGTGGGAGAACTTGCACAATTGGTGGCTGACTAAATACTTTTTCCCCCACTGTATACACACACACATGTACCAGCCAATGCCAAAATCTACCAGCATTTGGCTGGTGTTAATTTCCCACCCTGCTGAATATGGGTCAGAATTATGAAGCCACCAGAATGTTCAGCAATGCCTTAAGGGTGGACCCCACCTACATCAGAGGATACATCTGCCGGGCCCAAGCCTATCGCAATGTAAGCACGATGCCGTCACCATGATTTTTAGTTTTTTGATTTATAAACTTATTTTATATTTATAGTTCTTATCTTATTTTTGATCTAAACAGGTCAATGATCTGAAGAGAGCAAATCTTACATGGGCCACTCACATGAAGCCAGGTGCACAACACTTCTATATCATGAGGTAAAGGGGCTTACCATTACCTTTCTGTCACATACATAAAAGCTATTGTCCTTGACTTACAGGTGTCGTTTTGCTGTATAAATGTTACATTTCTCAGGTAAGATACTGTATCAGGCTTGAGTTTACTGTAAGTCTATAGGAGTGACTTCAACCATTATTTTAGAATACAGTAACAGTACTATGTATTAACAGTTCTACATGCTCTTGCTCTGTTCCAGAGGACAGTATCTGTGTGACATGGAACAGTTTGACCTGACCAGATTCTGTATCAAATACGCTGCTGAGATGAACAAAGGTACAAAGATTCTATGCATAAAGGAAGCACAATATGATCTCCCTGACTGACAAGCCATTGCTATCTCACAGACCGATGCTATATGGCAGAACTCACTTTGTGTGTCCAAAATGATATCCTAATCCCTACATAGTCCACTACTTTTGATCAGAGCCCACAGGGCTCTGGTCAAAAGTATTGCAATACAGTATAGTGAATAGGGTGCCATTTAGGACTCAACAACTGT